AGTGGGGTCCAGCTGTCCTTCCAGCCCCTGTGACATGGAGATTCCCAAGCTCAGAGTCCAGCCTCTTCCCTGTGAGTTTTGGGTTCCACAGCTGGGGCTGGGGAAGGGAATGAGAGGAAGGGGTGGGACCCCTTGGAAAAAGATCACAGCCTCTGGGGTGGGGGAGTTTCCTCCCAGAGCCAGTCTGGGTAATGCTGCCAGGCAGTCAGCACCCAGCCTAGGATGAGGAGCTGGCTCTGTTCATGTTCCCCTCAGATGTTTCTCACTTCCTAAAAAGCGCAAAGTCAGTAGTTACAAGATCAAGAGCGTGTTGTGGATATGGTGTGTCTTGCCCTCAGCACAATGGTTCATAACATCTCTCTTAGAGGTTGGAGAATATAATAAAACATTCGGTGGTTTTATAGGGAGAGCGAGAGGCTGTCTTAGGCACCATTTGGTTGCTGTAAGACTATACTTCCAGGGATCATTTCTACAGTTCCTTACTAGAGAAGTTTCTCTCTGTAGGGTGCATTTGGTTGCTGGGATCAGAAACCCATTCAAGCTAGCTCCAGTGGTGGACTACTGGGAAGCAGACAGGGAAGACACAGCTTGTCCACAGATGTTTACTCACCACACAGCCCCATGACTCTGCCCCACTCTCCCCTGACCACCCTCTTTCTCCATTTCCCATGATTCCCCCAGAGCTCTCATGGTCTCTCCTATCATTACCAGCCAAGTGTCCCTGTAGTGGACTGAATTGGGCCCCTCCCAAAATTCATGAACATTTGGAACCTCAGAACGTGACCTTATTTGGAAATAGATCTCTGCAGATGTACTCATTTAAGATGAGGTTATGTTGGGCCCTATATCCAATGACTGGTGTCCTTATAAGAAGAGGAGGCTGGGCTGGGTGCAGTGGCTCCCAGCACTTTGGGAGACTGAAGTGAGAGCATCACTTGAGCTTAGGAGTTTGTGACCAGCCTGGGTAACAAAGTGAGATCCCATCTCTACAGAAAATTTAAAAAGGAGCTGTGCATGGTGGTGCACAACTGTGGTCCCAGCTACAGAGGAGGCGGGGGCAGGAGGATCACTTGAGCTCAGGAGGTCAAGGTTGCATTCCAACCTGGGTGATGGAGCTAGACCTTGCATTTATTTATTTATTTATTTATTTATTTATTTATGGAGATGGAGTTTCACTCTTGTCACCCAGGCTGGAGTGCAATGGCATGATCTTGGCTCATTGCAACCTCCGCCTCCAGGGTTCAAGCGATTCTCTTGCCTTAGTCTCCCAGGTAGCTGGGATTACAGGCACCTGCCACCACGGCCGGCTAATTTTTGTATTTTTAGTAGAGATAGCGTTTCACCATATTGGCCAGGCTGGTCTCAAACTCCTGACCTCAGGTGATCCACCCACCTCGGCCTCCCAAAGTGCTGGGATTACAGGCGTGAGCCATCGCGCCCAGCCCTGTCGCAAATTTAAAAACAAAACCAAAAAGGCCAGGCACGGTGGCTCATGCCTGTAACCCCAGCACTTTGGGAGGCTGAGGCAGGCGGATCACAAGGTCAGGAGATCGAGACCATCCTGGCTAACAAGGTGAAACCCCATCTCTACTAAAAACAAAAAAATTAGCCAGGCGTGGTGGTGGGCATCTGTAGTTCCAGCTACTCGGGAGGCTGAGGCAGGAGAACGGCGTGAACCCGGGAGGCGGAGATTGCAGTGAACTGAGATCACACCACTGCACTCTAGTCTGGGCAACCGAGCGAGACTCCGTCTCAAAACAACAACAACAACAAAAAAAAAACAAAAACAAGAGGAAAGGACACAGACCAAATAAGAGGAAAGGACACAGAGAAAAAAGGTCACGTGAACAGGGATATGTGGAGGCGAAAGCAGAGGTAGGAGTGATGCTGCTACAAAGAATCCTTGACCAAAGAATGCCAGAGATTGCCAGGAACCACCAGTGGCTGGACGAGGCAAAGAAGGCTTCTCCCCAGGACCACTGGAGCAGGCATGACCCTGCTGGCCCCTGGATTTTAGAGTTAGCCTCCAGAATTGTGGGAGAATAGATTTCTGTGTGTTAAGCCACTGAGCCTGTGGCTGTTACCACAGCCCTGAGAAACTCACACAACCTACACCTGGAAACTGGATTCCTTCAGCTTCTGTGTTCTGATTCCAAAGCCTGGGAGAAAGCAGAATGGGCCTAGCTGGGGTCAGGTGTCTGCCCCACAGAACCCACAAGCCACTAAAGCTGAGGGCAGGGAATAGATGTGGGTTTCAGAGCTGCCCCTTCCAGTATTCTTCATAACCATCACCCTGTCCAAAAGGTACTAATTCATATCTCAAGGTCAGTTTGGAGGGAGGTCTCTCCAGGCAAGCCCCAGAGTTCCGTGCATTCTGTACACCTATCAGCTCTTGGGGCAAAAACACAGAAGGCTGTAGCCACCGGTGTGGATGAGACAAGTCCAGGAAAGTACCACTCTGATGACAGAATCAGGATTCAAGGGTTCTGTGCAGGTTAGAGAGTTAGCAAGGTGATATTGAATGAGGACGACGATAAAACCCACCTCTTGGGTTCCAAGAGTCAACTTCACAAGCAAAATGTGGACGACGCCTGGCTTCACGGCGGCAGTGACTTGTGAGAAAGACCTGAAGATTTTCTTTGACCAGCCGGCTTCGAGCTTCAGTTGCACAAAAAGCACAGCACTTTTGGCTCGGCTGGGGCGGTGATGGGCCTTTCGGGCTCGGTGCAGCCCATACCTAAGACAGACAGGAAACACAAGCCTCTCCAGAGAATTAGAGGTGCAACAGGGCCACCAGGCTAGGTGGCAGAGGTTGCGGGGTAAGGGGGAGGTAGGACGCCTGGGGAGAGGTCAGCGGAGTTATCGAACTAAGAGTCCCGGGCACCCCCAGATAATGATGGTACCAGGAGGCAGAGCGAGCAAACGGGGATGATCTGGGGTCTATTCCAAAGAGGTGGCGGAGGAGGTGGTGCTGGTGCGCCCCCAAACACGGCCATCTCGGCTCCAGAGCCCTGGAGAGCAGTTCCCGGGTTCACATGGACTCTGAAGACACCCGTATCCTGCGGGTGGGCGGCTCCTGGAGAGCCCACGCCCAGGCTGGCCTCAGGGGTCCGCTTCTTTGCTTCGGTCCTGGGCCCGCAGGCGACAGAGTGGCTGGTGTGCTCTGGGGCCTCCCAGGGCGCGGCG